GAGTATGGATGGTGGGGGTGGGGGGGAACATCTGGTAACTTGTGTGATGATGAAGGAAAGGGCTGAGGCTCACACCCCATGTGGAAATCCATCTGCTGGAGGGGCATGATGGGCTGCGGGTGTTTGGAGCAAGGATGGGGTGAAACCCAGACTATAGCAGGGAGTGGGACATGAGCAGGGGGGCTTAGCAGAGGGTCTGCTGGGGCAATGCCTGGAGAAGGGCAGGGCCAGTGCTGTGCGTTCAGGGGGGTCAGGCAGGTACAGGGGGGCCAGGAATTTGCTCTCAGATAACCAAAGGTTGGGGAGCAGTGGGAATCATCCTTGGAGGAGCGTGGGTCTTGCTTAGCCTCTGCCTGGAGGAGCTGCCCTCCCATAAGCTCCCGAGGTCTTTTCCACTCTGGCAGTGCAACCAGGGTGAATTAATCGCCCATCCAGTTCCTTTCCTGGGTCACAGCCACCAGGTTTTCCATGCCTTAGTAAGGCATGGCCCCAGCCTCAGCCCCCACATGACGGAGGGAGCAAGCCCTGGGCTTGCTGCAAGACGTAGTTGAAAGCTCTTGGGGAGTGCAAGTCAGGCGAGAAAATATGGGGGTTTTTTTTTAAAAAACAAAAAAATAAAAAAGCCCTCCCACCATCGCAAGATGTTTCTGTCTAACGGCTTCGTTCTCTCTTCGCTAAATACAAATTACGGCTCTGACACACCGGAGGCGCTTATCTCCAGCTGAATGCCAATTGCTTTCAGGAACAAAATGTTTGAAGTTCCTTTAAGGTGAAGGCAACAGCACGGTCCCTGCTGCTGCTGCTTTCAGCCTCCAAAAACCTGCTGTCATCACCCCAACTCGGGTCCTGGGTTCTTGGCCAGGAGAGAAGCAGGGCGGGGATGGACACGAGACGGTGGCTACTTTTAGACATAGCTCAGCCCTCCTGGCTCAGCGCAGAGGGACGGGACGGGGACGGGGACGTGGTCCTGGCCTGACGTTAGCAGCGGCGTGGCCCCTATAATAACACCGTGTGTCCCAGCTCAGGCTCTCCTTCTCCCCCATCAGCCTCAGAGATGAGTCTCCCCATTCCTGCCGTGGGGCTCGGAGGGGTAAAACTAAAACAGGAGCTGGGCCACATCCTGGCACCGGGGCTCTGAGCTGCGGTGGGAAGCGTGGACTTGAGCTGGTTCTGGTGCTGCTGGCCGGTGGGACGTAGGGAGCATCGGCTCCGCAACAAGTGGGTGCGGGTCCCGTTCCCGTCTGCCCTGGGGTGATACCCGC